ACACACACACACACACACACACACACACACACACACACACACACACACGCTCATATACATAACAGACATGTGCAACAACAACTGGCTTCAAAATGAACAAAAACGGACGAGCGCACAGTCGTCTACCGAGTTCCGTTTTCATCATCTTAAATTTTGACGAGACGCTGAAAATATTTAAACGTCCAAATGTTACAGCCTTATTAATGTAGGCATTGATCATTAAAAGTAATAATTATTTAATAAAGTGAGGTTTTTTTAAAAAAAAAACACATCCATATCTAAAGCTGTTTTTTTTCTGCTCCTGATTGGGTTCATTTGAAAAAAATAAAAAATAATTAAAAATAATAATAATTATGCCTTATTAATCAGTTTTCATTAATTATGCACCATTGATACTGTTAATTACAACAATATCAGTGAAGTATGCGTTTGTTCTCTACTGCTGCCCCCCCCTCCCTCCACGAGGGCGCACACATCTCACTACAACCTCTAATCTACCCCCCCCCCCCTCTTGTTTCCATTTGATCCAATCATTAAAAACCTTTTTTTTTTTTTTTTTTTTTAAGACCAGGAATTATGCACAATAGACAGGAGGCAGGCTGAACTGATCTGGATGGGAGGAGGAGGAGGGAAGAGGAGGAGTATAAAAGAATAAATAATAAAAAGATCATAATTGCTTAAACGTAAAGATTCACATCCCAAATGCACCTCGTGCGTTTTGGATGTTGTGTTTTGTGCGTCTGAGCGCAAAGTTCAGCCGAAAAAGCCAAAAAACATAAAACAGAAAATAAAGATCTCTTTAAGCTAATATGCCCACGTGAACTTGATTTGCAATAATGTTAAAATGGGACAAAAACAACAAAAATACGGACTAAGTGAAGCAGAAAGGTTTGGACACCAACATAACCAAGTGACGAACTATCCACGCCCCTCGATGCGTAAAAATCTTTTCTTTTTTTTTTAATCCAGCCATGTTTGTTTACGCAATTAATTTAATTAACAGCTCAAATCTAATGCATTAACTCGAAGTTACCTGTCATCGTCACATGAACTGAAAATCCCGGGTCTCGCGTGGAGAAATGGCTCAAAACCTGCTCTCCAAAACGCACGGCGCAGTCAGGAAGCAGCCGAGCTCAAAGCTGGGACTCCAGTTTCACTCCATCTGAGTTTTCTTTTTTTTTTTTTAAAGATCCTAAATCCTTAAAAAGGAGTCGTGTTTTCTAAAAACTCTTGCCCCCGATTTTCCAGCACAGATTCTGGTCTTACAGCAGGACAAGAGCGCCTCCATGTCTGTGAGGCTCGTGGCGCAGGGAGTCCCTCCTCCGGCTCCTCCACGCCACAACACTCATGACGTCTCAACATTTCACTCCTCATTTCTCCTTACAAACACTTTTGGACCTGCATGGTACCGAACATGCTGCATCAGGAGGTCGCGACCCATTCCTCTATTTCCTGCAAGAACAACAACAACAACAAAAAAAAAAAAACCCTCCCCCTCCAAATAATACAAAAACTACAACCAAGTCCTTTGGAGGATTTTTCCCCCTTTGCCACCTGATTTAAAAATTGCGGGAAATTCAATTTTTATTTTGCTCTCTAAAAACTTTTTCCTCAGTTATAGAGCAAGCCTTACCAAATTTGTGTACGTCCCTGGGTGCTCCTGCCCCGTCCAGTCCAGCCTCTTGGGCAGCAGCTGCGATGGAAAAACAACGCTGAACGTTACCATCGGATTGATAAATGTATCAGGTGAGGTTTGAAATCTGTAAATGATCGATTGGAGCCGAGGCGACATCACAGTTAGTGCAGAGAAGCATCTCTCGTAGCGCTTACCTCCTTCTCCTCCACTTCCCTTATCAGGGTCTGAAAACGGGATAAAAAGGCAACAGTTACACCTTGTGACGCTGGCGGACGTGTTCCAAATGAGCCTAAAATACAAAAACACCGACCTGGGCTGCTTTTTGACACGGTCCAGCTTCTAGAAACCGGGCTATTAGGAAGTACAGTTCTGGTATGGTTGGTGGGGGAGAAGAGAGGACGGGAGCTGCGTTAGAAGAGGGCAACCGAAGAAATTTTGGAAGGGGGGTGAATATTAAAAACAGCCTTGACGCATTCCCCGTTCTCTTTTACTCACCAGAAGTCAACTGCGCGGTGTGTGTACTGTCTGAAGCCATTTTGGTGCTGTTTGGCAGCGGCTGAGTCTGTAGGTGGCTGCCCTGTAGCTGTCACTGTTTATCCACCAGGAAGACGCTGCCTCCATTCAGCTGCGCTCGCGCACACAGAGTCCCGCCTGCGTGCTGTATCCCTCCGCCAAGCGGCAGTTAGCGCGCGCTCAACGGTTTATAATCCCCCTCTTCAAATACGATGTTTTTTTTTTTTAATCGTAAAGATTAACTAACTAAAATAATCTGTAAATGTACTGCTCGAAGCGATTTACGGCCACGGTTGCTTTGTAATGGGGCACGTTCGCGTAAATCCCCCTCCCCCCTCAAAAGTAAAAGCGCAAGCTCCTCCGCGGAAGCGTACAGGCGAGCGTGTCTCGCGCACGCCTCTTTTCGAGGGGAGGAAGAAATGGCAGCCAGTTTTAGATGAGGACGCTTTGCGGTAGCGTGGCTGTGTTTTTTTTCTCTCCCAGCATTTAGCTTACATTTTGAACATTTTACAGACTACGGCGGCATATATTTGTAGTGTAGAGGTAATTGATTTGTGCTCGTCGTTCCTGCTCTGTTTTTAAACAGCCTATTTGTAACTGCGAACGTAAAATATGTGAGGGAGGTTTACAGCCGATTTATCTTGCCCGTTTCAGCAGCGTTTCTCTGCTTGTTGTTATTAGTGGAGATAACACTTGGCTTCCGTTGTTGTTGCGTGTTTTATGTAACACGACGTGAAACTAACACACCCACTCTGTGATCCATTTGGTGAAGTCGTCCATTTCTCTTCGGAATATTGCTTGGCAGTAAAATGGGGGAAGGGTTGGAAAAAAAAAGGGGGGAATGCAGCTTAATGAATGAAAAGCCTGAGAGTTACAGCAGTTTAATGACAATGGAGGCTAGTGGAGGACTGGCCATCAAGAAAATTCAACAAAAACACACCCAGTCTCGGATGACTACACAGAAATAACTGTTGTGGTATTAATTGTTCTTTTATCTGTTGTTATGAATCTATACAAATACATGTCTTCACTTCAATTTTCTCTTTTTTTTTAATAGAGACTGTGCAAAGCATCTGCAACATGGTTTTATTTACATCTAAGGAAAAGAGAAGCAGGTACTGGAAAATACACTTTACAAGAATAGCATTTTTTTTTTTTTTACATCCTTATGAAACTTGATATTTAACAACCAGTCTTAGTGAGACAAACATTGTGTTTCACCACAACAAACACAAAACTCACCGTCAGCTTGTCCTTGAACAAAATCGTGTCTTACAAATACCATATTCACCTCGTCATAATTTTTGAGTTCATATCACATTTAAATGAAATCTTACTTCTAATCTGCCTAGCTCTAGATTATATTACAGGTCTTATTCCATGTTTTCCCAACAGAGCACTTCGCTCTCAGACTGCAGGCTTACTCGCGGTTCCTAGAGTTTCCAAGAGCAGAATGGGAGGAAGATCTTTCAGTTTTCAGGCTCCTCTTCTTGTGGAACCAACTTCCAGTTTCTGTCCGTGAGGCTGACACATTGTCCAGTTTTAAGACTGGGATTAAGACTTTACTTTTTGATAAATCCTATAGTTAGGGTTGGCTTGTTGAGCTGCCATAAGCTTAGACTACTAGAGGACCTCATTTCCTTAAATTAATTGTTAAAATTGAATAGTTTTCATTTGATACTATTTCTATCTTAACCTGATTCTTGACCTGCCATTGTGTATCTGTTCCTCCTTCCTGTCCCTTTCAAACCCAGCTGGTCGAAGCAGATGGCCGCTTGTCCTGAGCCTGGTTGTGCTGGAAGTTTCTTCCTCATGAGGGAGTTTTTCCTTTCCACTGTCGCCTTCATGCTTGCTCAAGATGAGTCTGCAATGAAGTTAAACTCAAAGCAGTCTGCTCAGAAGAATAAAGAAGTTTGAGATTGTTATCATTATATGTTCTCATATAATGACGAAATTAGTTCTCTGCATTTAACCCATCACACGTGAGATACACCCAGGTGGAGCAGTGGGCAGCTGTGCAAGCACCCGGGGAGCAATTAGGGATTAGATATCTTGCTCAGAGACACCACGACATGTGGGAATGGCTGGGAGTTGAACCGTGGCTTTCTGGTCCCAGTTCGACTGCCCTACCTCTACCCCATCTCGGCCCCCAAATAATGTTATTAACTTGCTTTTTATATATGAATGTTTCTGTTCAGTGCCCTGAGTTGACTTCTGTTGTGACTTGGCGCTATATTGAATTGAATTGAAATGTGTTGTTGTTTTTTTTTTATCTATTTAAATACTAGACTTGAACCCCTGACCTAGTCTCTCATGTACACTGGAACAATTTGTTTTGTATGACATTATATAAAAAATGTACAAAATCTCATGTTCACACAACTTCCACTAGTAAATACAGGCTTTATATCCACAACAGACATGTCTTAATTAGCCCCCCTGCTACCCCTGGGTCAAAATGATCCACCAGACCTTGGTCCTTGGTCATTTTGACCAATGGCAGCAGGAGGGTTAGATATGGTTGTATTGAGGAGGGTGACAATGTCAAGAGCTGCATTTATGGGGTTAGTGTGATCAATTGTGCCGTCACATTTGAGCCAACAACGCTTGTTTTGCTCATTTAGATTGACCTCAAGGTTTGGTTTGATGCTAGTCAGTGAATTTGCAATTATTTGTGTAGGAATTACAGTGAAACAACCGCTTGTTGTTAATTCTTCATTATCACAGGCACATAGAGGAGCGTAAAAATTGTTTTAATTTTCTTTTTATACCCATTCTTGTACATCAAACATCCAGTAGTGTTGGAGACCGTGTGACATGTAGTTATAGGTTTTAATTCATGTTTCTGTATTGTGTTGGTGGGCTTGTATAATATTTAAAGAGTAGTTCAGTATAAAAATAAAAAGATCTTGACATTAGTTCTCTGCACTATTTTTTTTTCTCTATATTCGTTTCATCCTGAGCACGCTCCCAGATAGTGTCCCCACGTTTTATTTGACCTTCGCGCAAAGAAAGATGGTCCATAGTCAACGATCACACCGAAACTTTGTCCTCATAAATCTCAGTTACCAAACAAACTCAGAGTGATTCCAGCCAATAAATAATTTCTCAACTGCAAAGATGACAGTCTGAGAATGTCGATGTATCAAAAACCAAAGTTAACTTTTTGACTTCCCTGTTTTTATTTTATGTACAGGTGTAAGGCTCGAGGGCAGAGTCAAAACCTTTCAGGCTTTAAAAATGGCCCAGGCAGCAAGAAAAACAAACCAAAATAAAAATAAATAAAAAATAGATAGGATCCAAAAGTTGCAGAGCTCTGATATTTTTTTATATTTACTTTTTCAAAAACATGGATCTTACAACTTCACAGAAGAACTACATGGTTTCCACCTTTCTCAACCACCACCAAGAAACAGAGTCCCCCCTGTTTTAAACTACCCAGCTTTTAAAACATTGGCCTGTACCATTTTCTAATGAAGAGGGGTGGAGCCAACATTTACATTTTCTATATGAAAATAACACACACTTAACTAAATTAAATCTCTAGAGAAAACAAACGTTTTAAAACAATAATTTAAACTATAATTTAATTTAAACAATTTGAAGCTAAACAACAACCTAAACCCAACTAGAATCCAAAACGTCTCCCTCCCTCTCAATCAGTGTGGCTTCCCCCAGTGAGGCTGATTGAAAACACCAGTTTCTTGTCATCACTGCTCATGGGCGCGCTTCCATGGCAACGCATGACTCGGTGACCTCAAAGAGAAGGAGAGAATGATTAGAACAACAAAATCTTAAAGTTAAACAATATGATCACCAGGTTTAAGCCTTTTCCCAAATACAAAAAAAAAAAAAAAAACCCATTATGCATTAAGTTCATTTAGATCAAAATACATACAGCACCTGTTACTGGGGGGCAAATCCCTCACAACAGGTATGGACTGGAAGTAATGGTTGAAGATACAGTACTTATAATGTAGCTAAAAGTACTTTTTCTATGCATCTTTTAGAAACCAAAACTATTTCTTTAAATCCAATACCAACATTTAGCCTCTTTTAAATGTCTTATATATTTGATAATAAATAAACCACAACAGTTATCATTGAATGCTGTGATGTGTTTATCAACTTATATTTTATGAATAGTACAGATTTAATTAGATCTTCTGTTAGGTTTTTATGGGCTGTAGACCTCACTGACCTTAGTCAAAGTTTAATGATAACATATTTTTAATTATTTTAACATTTTAATAGTGGCACAACACAACTTTTATGTTCTTGGTCACAACTGGCCAGCATGATTTTATCATATAAAGAAGACACAAGTCCAAAATTATAGATAAAATTTAACTGTATGATCAAATGACTGTTAAACAAACAAACTGCATTACTCTTACTAACATAGGCAAGTGCAGTCAAATGTGCAATGTGTGTCTGATGCACATTAAAACAATATGTGGTGTTTGCATGTGCTTTGCTAAAGTTTGAACTATATTTCAGCTGAGATCGTTCCTCTTAGGTGGGTCTTAAGACTGTCTGAAGATATCGTCCCATTTTTTAAAATCAGGATTTAACAGCAACCACAGCCTTCCTCCTCGTTCCTGGATCGTACCACATGACTTTTCTCTTGGTCAGGATCATTTTCTCTGTTAACGTTAAGTTCTGACACTTCCTCTGTAGCATCTTCCATGTCAGTTCTTGGCCATGCTCCTTGTCATCTACAAAACCGGATTCCAAACAAGTTGGGACACTAAACAAATTGTGAATAAAAACTGAACGCAATGATGTGGAGATGGCAAATGTCAATATTTTGTTCGTAATATAACATAGATGACAGATCAAAAGTTTAATCTGACTAAATGTAACATTTTAAAGGAAAAATATGTTGATTCAAAATTTCACAGTGTCAACAAATCCCCAAAAAGTTGGGACAAGTAGCAATAAGTGGCTGGAAAAAGGAAATTGAGCGTATAATGAACAGCTGGAAGACCAAATAACACTAATTAGGCCAATTGACAACATGATTGGGTATAAAAAGAGCTTCTCAGAGTGTCAGTGTCTCTCAGAAGCCAAGATGGTAAGAGGATCACCAATTCCACCATTGTTGCGCAGAAAGATAGTGCAGCAATACCAGAATGGTGTTACCCAGCGTAAAATAGCAAAGACTTAAATTATCGTCATGAACCGTGCATAACATCATCAAAAGATTCAGAGAATCTGGAACAATCGCTGTGCGTAAGGGTCAAGGCCGTAAAACTCTACTGGATGCTCGTGATCTCCGGGCCCTTAAACGTCACTGCACCTCAAACAGGAATGC